GCCAGCGAGCCGCCTCTCGCCAAATCTGGGAAAGGGCCACCCTCGCCTTGGGCGAGGGCGCCCTTGAAAGCCCTAGGCGAGGGTTGGCCTCGCTTGTGGCTTTCGAGGGTGGCCTCGACGAGGCAAGACTGGCCTCACCCAGATCTAGCGAGGCCATCCCTCGCCGGCAGCTGGTGAGGCCGGCCTTGCCCATGGCCGGCGAGGGTGGCCTCGCCTAGGCGAGGTTGTCCCTCGCTTATTGCCAGTGAAGGTTACCCTCGCTAGATCGGGCAAGGGCAACCCTCGCTCAGCCCTTCTTGGGCTTCATCGGTGGCCGGCCCGGCTACCGGCAACCAGCCACCGGCAAAACAAAGAGAAGATCAGAAAAGGAAAAAAAGAAAAAAATAAAATTATTTTTGGACGAAAATGCCCTCGACCTTGCCGGTTGCCAGTCGGAATATTTTGTTGTCTGGTGATCGGCGAAGTTAGGCCCTTATTTGAAACTCTCATGGCACTTCATGCCATTATTTGAGACTGATATGCCATTTCAAATCCTTATTTGATACAAAGTCTACTTTAAGCCCTTATTTGAGAAAATGAGGGCATTTCAGGCCCTTATTTGGCAGTGCCCTCATTTGGAATTTTCCCTTTTAATTATTAGTCATCGAAAGGAATAGATTCTCAATTATCTCACGAATTTATTCGACTGAATTTAAAAAGGACAAAGGAATTATGAGATATTAGATTAGGAGATCATGTCCCGAGAAAATAATTGTAAATCTCAAGTTCGTAACGACATTACTTGATTAGTCTGACTTACGGGGGTGATTAAGTATCGAGATGAATGGGTTCTCGATATGAATCGGGAACCTGTCCAGTCAGGGCCAATTTCAAATTCTTATAATTGGAAACCAAGATGTATATGTAAGGAACCGACCCGGAATTGAACCGATCGATTCCAAGCTGGTTTTCATTTCATGTCCATGACTTTGTTTCATCTTCTTTTCATTGTGCACCTGTTAAACCCACGCGTGCTAGAGAAAGAAAGAGCATCGGCGGCAACACCATGTTAAGTTGATTGTCGAGTAAGGTCAACTTCACATCCTTTTGCCAAAACAAAACCTTCTATCCTAGAGTGAAATCGGGAATAAATTGAGAATTGAGATTTTCCGTCCCTAAACTCTCGTTTGTCTATTTGATTATTCTCTTTGTTCCTTTTGTGCAGCATTCAATAGAAAGGACAAGAGGTTCACATCGATCCCCATGCCTCCATCATTGCAGTCTCTTTTCTCTTATTTTCCGAAGGAAACTCATCTTATCTTCTTCTCTCCCGTTTGGTAAGAGATGAGATCTCCTTTTCACGTGGCGATCATGATATTTCTATTCTCATCCTTATTTTTTCCGAAAGAAACTCTTCTTATCTTCTTCTCTCCCGTTTGGTAAGAGATAAGATCTCTTTCACGTGGCCAATCATGATATTTCTATTTTCATCCTTATGAAAAAACCGAAAAATTGATAGGAAGTAGAAGTAGACTTTGGACCGATTTTATTTCACGAGCTTAAACTCAAGACATATTCAGTAGTTTTGGGAACACTTTATATGTTAATTTCACATGGTGAAGTGGTTAAACTATTTTGACAAAAAAAATGGTTAAATTATTTTCAAGCTAAGTGGAAGACTTGAGTTTGAGTGGGAAAATTGTTTAAAAAATTCTAAAATTATTGCACTTTTGTCAATTCAGTTCTAAACTTTTTAATTTTATCAATTGAGTATTAAACCTTTTTACGTTTTGCCAATTGAGTTCATTCGTCTAATTTTGGCCAAAGATGTGAACATTGGCCGTCCTCGTACCATGGCCAACATTGACATGGACAATTTTTAATAATATTTTAATATTTTTTTAAATTTTTTTTATATGTTTCCTTTGTTTTCTTCTTCCTCCCTTCTTTCTCCGCCGGTTGTTGGGCTTGGGGATGGCCTCAGGCGAGGCCAGTGAGGGTCGCCTTGCGAGCTTCGGGCGAGGTCAGTCCTCGCTAGACTTCGGTAAGGTTGCCCCTTCCCAGATCCCGGTGAGGGTGACCTCACTTAAGGCCGGCGAGGGCGACCTCCGTTGGTGGTTGCCTCGCACAATCCTGGCGATCCGCAGAGGAAGAAGGGAGGAAAAAGAAAAAAAAATTAATACAAAATTTGAAAAAAATATTATGATTCGTTTGGACAATTTTTCCGAGTTTTATATACATGCGCGCGCCAAAAAAAAAAAACTTGACAGCCACTCCACACCCACATTGCTTCCTTCATCTCTTTCGAAAGAGAGATCCAATAGAGCATCCTCTGGGGCAATTGAAGCACAGACGAACTGTGCCCGCCTTAAAACAGTGATAGAGAAAAGCCAAGAACCAAAAGAAAAACACAAGGAAGAAGAAATCCCTCCTTCAGACAATAAAATTAGAGTCAAGTTTCCATTTTTTTTTACCACTCCCTCGAAATGCCATTCCAATCATCACCACAAACATGCACTCGGTCAACGTTCACACAGAACAAAAATCCCTCCTCGAATTTATCAACAAAAAGCGATCTTTATCAACTGCAGACCACGTCCCAGGCACGAATCATAAGCAGCAAATAACATCCCACCACAATCGATTTCAAGAATCGAACAATTCATCACCAAATTTCTGGGACCAAGAAAAGAAGTCAAAAGAGACCCAAGCAGAGAAAGAGAGAGAGATCGAGACAAAGAGGGGGAAGGGAAGGGGACAACAAAAGCGAAGAAGGTCATGCCTTATGGATCATGAATACACTCGCTGATAAAACCTCAGTTCTCAGATCGAGCGATGGCTTATCAAGCAATGCGAAGGGAAGCACAAGAACCCCTGGATTTCGGATTTCAATTTGTGGGGATCTGGTGGACTCCCTCAAGAAAACGGAACCGTTTCTTCCGTGTTCTACGATGAAGTTTGAGGAGGAAGTCAAACTTTAATTAATGCCTCTACGACAATTACAGTACGGTAGTTTTTTATTGAAATAAAACCTAGCGAATTCTTCTATTTTCCCCGACCTTTTTCGTCATGTTTGCAGTCGGAATTTCTTGCATTTACAACGTAAAATCCTTGTGCCGTCTTATGTGAACAAGTTATTAAACATCTCTTCTAAACAAATTTTGGGATGACTTATGACTCTTCAAACACACACAAAAAATAATAAAGTGTGTTTTTCTTTCCTTTGTTAGGCATCCTTGTAAATAATGGAGATCTTCTCAATTGCATAAGAATAAATGGACCGCGAACATGTCAATTAGATTTACTACTTTTATTTTCCGTACATACTAAATTTAAAATTTACCATTGTTAAAAAAATTATTAACCTCAATTAGAATAATTACCGATTCTTCTCCAATTAAGTTGCTAATTGGTTTTGCATTACCAACTCTATTTGAGTAAGTCACTAACTATTTATTTGATTTTTTAGTTATCTACTATTCTCATCTCTGATAAAAAAAAATTATCTTATCTTTTACATTCTTTAATATACCTTTCTTATTAACACCTTTTTGTTTTTGGTCGAATCTTATTGACCCCTTAGATGTACCAACTATTTACTGAAATTACTAAACTTATTTATATGACTTACTATGGACTCACTAACTTGTCTCTACCAACTTGTTTGGGTTATGTTCCAACTCTCATGTGAGTTTTTCACCAACTTTTATTTGTTTTTTTAGATTTACCAAAATTTCTATTTTGCTACAATTTTAATTTGTCTTACTTACGAACAGTTTTTTTTTTCCACAATTAAGTTGCCAACTAATTTTGTGATACTAAACTCTATTTAGATTAGTTAGCAACCTTTATTTTTTGTTTTAAACTTACCAAATTCTCTTATCTCAAACAAAACAAAAACTTCTTTTTATCTTAACCAACTTTTATTTATCTTTCTTACAAAAGTCTTAAATTTACCAATTATCAATAAAACTATCAATTTTTATTTGAGTGACTTACCGGTTCTTTGCTTGATTAAGTAACTCAATAGAAAATTTGATAAATTAAAACAAATTATATAAACGTTGTAATTAACTGATAAAAGTAGATAATCTAAAACTAGTTGATAATTAAATAGATGAAAATTTGTGATCAATTAAATTAAATCTAGTAATTTTATATAAAAGTCCGTAAATTTAAGATGTAATTAAGAAATACAAATGAAAATTGGTAAAGTATCAGAAATTAGCTAAGTATCTTAAATGAGAGTTGGTAATTCAAAACTAATTTGAAATTTAATTGGCGAAAAGATAGTGAAAAGTTGATAAATTTGATGTATTGCTAGGAAATGTAAAAAACAAAAGTTTGTAAATCACAAGAAAAGTTGGCAAATTGAGAAAAGTCAAGTAAACATCGGTGAGTAACCCAAAAAAGAGTTGATAGCCAACTACTAAGTAATAATTTAATTGGGAGAAAAGTTGGCGAGTCATGCCAAATTAGATTGGTAATCTTTCAAATGAGTTGAGTAAATATAACGAATTACAATCGAGACAAATAAAAGTTGGTAATTAGATAGAAAAATTGATAAAACACGGAAAAATGATAAGTAACTTGAATGGAAACTGGTAACCACAAAATAATTGGTAACAAAATCTGAAAAATGTTAATAAGTCATTTGAATTCATGTTAGTAATTTCATATAGGAGCAAAATTCAAAACATTAGTAACTTGTACGAGTGAAACTTGGTAAGATAGTTCAAACATTGTTAATTTGCAAACTATAAACAAATTATTAATTTCGTAAAAGCGTTGATAAAATGCAAACAATTGACCTGGAAAATATGTCATCAGTTTTTTTTGTTAATTTTTTTGCTTTTTATCAACACTAATTAAAATCTACCAATATAATATATATTTTTTTCGCACGGACAATAAAATTCTGCGGCTAGGACCAAGGGATAGTAATAAAAGTTGCTTAAGATTTTTTTAGCCCACAGATAAATTGTGATAAAAGTTGCTTGAGATTTTTTTTCCCACCAGCAGCGTCGACAATGTAAATTCTTAGTCTCATAAAAGCTTCCTATTGATGATAACAAAAGAGAGCCTCATAAACTAATTGTCCTACAGTGGGTGTAAAAGCCAAAACCACTTGAATCGTCTAATTTACTATCAAAAGGAAACAAAAATGGTGCAGGCGGACACTGCAATCACAGTTGATGCAACTGTTGTAGAAATTGGCATCTTGCCCTCATCCTTCCTTAGAATGCCATGATAGATTGGCAGATTGATAAGAATCAGAACTGCACACAAAATTGCTTGCAGCAACATCGATCCGAAGAACCCGGCACCCCCAGATGCGAACCCCGTCAGTGCCGCGCCGAGGAAGCAAACCAGGTTGAGCAGAGCGAGAGTGGTCAATATGGTGAACATCGGGGACGTGGCCCCGAACTCCATCATCTCCTTCTCGTACCGCTGGGCGACTCCTTCTTCGGCCACCTTCGAAGTGATCACGAACGCTGTCTCGGAGAACCCCAGCAGTTTCGCCACCGTGTCGATGGCGGCGAAGAGGTAAGAGCTAGTCCTCTTGTAGAGCCATATTCTCTGGTCGTTCCACCAACCGAGGACCGTGCCGCCAGACCAGAGGTACTCCGCCAAACTATAAGCGTACTTGCAAAAAATCACGTATGCAAATGGAATGAACCATGGGCTTGTCACCTGATTCATAGTAACACAAACTTAGCTAAAATGGACCATAATTTGTCTGATACGATGACATTGTCTAGTTGAATGCAGTGCAATTGAAAAGGGAACACAGTAACATAGTAAGATTTGTAAACAATACCTCTGGAAACAACGAAATGCCTTTCAGTAGGCAAAGTGAGGGGATGATAGTGTAATAGAGAGTCGGCAAGCAATTAGGAGCCCAGAGGCAATAGGGGAGATAGCACATTATGAGGCCAGGGCTGATCTTCCCCAGCCCGTGCCATGCCGGGCTGTATCGGGACAGCAAGATCTGGAAATCGCCCTCCGACCATCTCTTGTGCTGCACGAGCAACTGGAGCAGCGTGGTTGGCGCGACACCTAGGAAAGCGTTCCTCCTGGGGTTGAAGTAGACGGATCTCCATCCTCGGTACTGGATTGATAGCCCCGTGATCACGTCTTCCACCGGACAACCGTACTTTAAGCCCATCTGCCCGAATCACAGAAACAAATCCTTTTAGGCCCTTTTCTGTCCTTAATCTTCTCAGATTAAACAGTAGTAGTTTCATTGGCGTCTATTGACAATACTACACAATACTAAACCTCTCTTCCCCATTCAGTGTTCTCCTCATAACTGCAGCTTGCAAGTTTCTTGAGCTCTTCTGGTTTATAAATACCTCCATTTGGGTCGATTCCGCTATTTTCACTCCATCTAGTTATGACTTCTCTGCCGATCTTCTTCCCGCAAAGAGTGTCTCGCCTGTGAAAGCACCCGCTCCCAATATAGAGCACACCTCCTTGACCATCCAAGCCATGAAATTCCACCTTCAATGCAATCAAAGAAGAGGCGGCCAAGAAGATCAACTAACTGATGCGAAATTTCAAAATGACGTGCAGACAGATAAAATAGGAAGCTCTGAGACTGCGAATATCCACTCACCTCAGAAATCACTCTTAATGAACTGCTATACTGTTCGTTCTTGGTGACATTCTCGAAGTTCTGCGGGAACTGCACGTAGGCAATCTCATCCCCTCTTTCTTCGTCCATGAGAAAGCAAAGCGCGTCTCTTATCGACTCCGAGTTGTTCGAGTACATGTCGCAGTCCACATTGAGAATGATCCTCCCGCTGCTGATAGCCGATGATACCCTTATCTGCATTTTTGAACAGATAACGAATTCAGCCCTTAGAAAATTGCATCACATGATGATGTCAGTATAAGGACACTGAAAACCATAGCATGATGATAGAAATTCAGGAACTCTGAGACCAAACTTCACAAAAAATGCATCTTAATGCGAGATCAATGCATGCATTCACGGTTTCCATGTCTTGTACTAGTTCTATTGTCTGTGCGCACATTACCAGCGCATTCATGGCTCCGGCTTTGAAGTTATGAAAATATTGCGGTCTCTTTTCGCGAGCCATGTAAACCAGTGTGGACAGTGCATTGCCTTCGGCATCCACGGCCTTCCGGGTCGTCCTATCGATTAGTATCTGAAACAAACGGGCTAATTAATTAGTCATCGGCAGATAATTAGCATGAGAAGTTACAAGCTACTATGCTTAGCATATCGAAAGTCGGCATACCTCAAGAAACGTGTTGTGATCTTGTCGAGAAATATAGGAATCCCACTGAGAGAACTCCTTATGTTTTGAGCGGATATCCTCAGAGATCCGGCCGAGTTCGTGGGCAGTTTCGATCCTATTCTTCATGTCTTCATATAGTTTCTGATGTTGAAATTGACAGAGATTAAGAATCATCTGGATTTTGAGGATTAGTATGCACCTACGCGAATTTTATCGAAGCAGTAGTGACAGAACATGGTTGTTCCTAGTAATCTACAAGAGAACTAATTATCTCCTTGGACGATGCTGCTGTTCTGCTTCCCAAAAATGGTTTCTCAGCAAAAAAAGCTTTTCTTGGTTCAGAGAGAGAATAGAAGTTGGTAGTTTAAAATAACCAAACAAACATTAGTGACTCAATATTAGTTGTTAATTTAATCGGAGAAAAATTGATAATTTCTATAAAAAGTACATAAATATGAGGTATTGTTGAATGAGATGTGCCCATGGCAAAAGACTCTCTCCTTATGGAGACTCTTCTCAAATTCAGACGTAGTATCTCCTCTTTAGTACGACATAAATTGGTAAATCCCTCTATTTTAATTGGTAATTTTATATGAGAGTTAATAAATCCAAAATGTTAGTAAAATAAATCCAAAAAGTAATAATTTACGCAAATAAAAGTGGGGAAGCTAGATTGGTAAATGTCAAATTATGAGAACAAGTTGATAATTTTACAAAATATTAATAAGTTACCAACAACTTACATAAAAAAAGGTCACCACTAATTTTTTAACATTAGTTTTTTTATATTTTTCAACATTTATTGAAATTTATTGGCACGGAACAGTAGAACTCTTCTATCTCCTTCAGAGAAAATTTCCTCGAACTTTACAAAGCCCTAATTTTTCTTGTAAGCGTTGAACTTTTAACCCTGAATTCCCCCATAATTAAATTATTTCCTTTTTCAATGATCAGAATAAAAGAGAAAATGGACAATTTACTCCTGTTGACTAAAAAATGGGAAATCAACATGTGAGAGAGACTATTTACCTTGATAGCCGACAATTCTTCATTTTTACCGTTGGCACTAAGTTGATCGCTCGACGGCGATCGGAAATAAGCAGCCGGTGACCTGGGCTCCACCGTGAATCTTCGGCAAAACGGTATCCAATGCTTGGCGAATTGGGAAGCTTCTAGCAAAGCGTAGTACGTGATGTTCGAACCGGCGTCATCCGAGAGATAGACACTCATCTTCTCTGGTGGATAATCGTAAGCCATCACTGACAGGACGGTATTGATCACCATCATCGGTGGTTCGATGGCGGGGTCTGCCGTGCACACGAATATGTCCACCCCAGGTAGATCCTTATCATACCTGCTTTTGTTATTGTTTTTTTCATTTGCGCACAATTTATAAAATTACCAACAATTGATAATGTTTAAATTTTTTATATTAAAATCATACATTCATCTGATCATAGTTTATGCTTTTAAAATAGTTTACTTTATCATTCGCTCGAGAGGGTGAGCCATTTTTGGAGTTTTGTGATCTGTTTTTCTCTCAGGTTCGACTTTAGTGCCATGAGTGGGCATTGAGAAAGGTCAAACAGACTCCCTATAGAATATTAATACTGCAATCTCTCTGTAGACCATGCAGCTACCGCCTAACTGGGGACTCTACATCATCATAATCCAATCAGAAGGACCTACTTCATGCAATTTTCAACAAGGGAGCTCTTCTCTCTGGGTCAAACTTCTAATGCTCAACGACCGTTCAAAGAGCAAGCAGCTGCTGCCGGCTAGTATACTGTGCTTCTCTTAAACTTATGATCACCAAGTATGGTCGATGACCACTGAACCGATAACTGTAAACATTGCAATTCATGTTTCATAGCGAGGCTAGCGAGAGAGAGAGAGAGAGAGAGAGAGAGAGAGAGAGAGAGAGAGAGAGAGAGAGAGAGAGAGAGAGAGAGAGAGAGAGAGACCGACCTGTGAGAGAGCCGATCCTTGAAGGTGCGGCGATAGACGAGTCTCCAGCGGCAAGCTTGCATGAGAACCCAGTAGAGGCCGAACCACAGCTCAGCCGCAAGCAGGCCGAACCAAACCCAAATCGGACCGTGCTCCGGTTCACTCGGCACATGACTCAATCTATAAGCCCATATCATGCATATCCCCAGGAAGATGGTGCTTGCAAACACCCTGTACGCCAGCGTCCCTCTGGCCCTTGTAGTCTCGAACAATGGAATATATCCCTCACCTCCCATCTCTCTCTCTGTGTCTCTCTGTCTGTCTCCACTAATGATTTATATCGACGCCCACAGACATTTCATTTGTTAGATATAGAGGACGCAAAGGGAATTTAAAACTCCCATCCACCATGTTTGACCATGACTGCATCTTACTTTACGACCCACGAACGTGGAAATCTATCATCAAGGGAAAACGAAGTAGGGTTATTCGACCAAAAAAACAAGAAAAAAAAAGGAAGAAGGGTTCTTTATATCATACACTAGCGACGGTGCAACAATGACCACGTATTGCAATTTGGGGAAGATGGGCATCCGGAACGTGGATTGGAGATAGTCTGATGCATTTAAAGAAACAAATCTAAGGATGGTAGTCAATCCAAAAAAAAAGGCCACGGGATATAACTTCCATTTTTAGGCAATGGATATTATATCCAAAATCAAAGGAATTCTATAACATTTCGTTTTGTACTGTATAGACAAAAATAATATGGTTGCACAATATACCGTGTTTTTATATCGTGTTAGGAATATATTACAAAATCACTAATAGTATGATAATATCATACGTAGATTGTTTACACTGATTGCTAAATAGATTTTACATTAGAGCTTCAAAAATCGCAGAAAAGGAAAAGTGGAGAGATCTCGCGTGCGGTTTTTTGTCGCATTTGTCAAAGGGCACAGGATAAAAAGGATCAGTTAAAGTCAATTTCGTGCGGATACATTTGAAGTTTGAACTCGTAGTTGGTTCCGTCCATTATTTCTTTGATAAAACAAGCTCAAGCTCAGTCAATTACTGTTGTCTTTTCTTGTTTGTTCTATTGGGTTGGCGTAATGGGGCATAGGGGATTAGGTTAATCGTTTTCGATGAAGATGGGCCAGCTGAAGTTGGTGAGATGTGAAGAAGGCAGCCAAAGCTTTGCTTACTTTGTCTTGTCTTTGCCCATGAACCTGCATCGGACACGACGTTTCCCGCAGAAACTGGCGGCGTCTTCTTCCTTCTAAACCAAGAAAAAGAAGAGGCTCATTCCTTCTGCAGGAGATTCTTCGCTACATGAAAAAAAGGATTGACCCAGCCTCTCACGATGCTGATAAATGTGCGTCATTTCTTACCCTTTCTTTCTTTTGAGATGGAGAGAGGCCAGCAGTGTTAGCGATCTCCTCTGAACGTCATCATAACAGATCTCAAACTCTCAATGGAACTTTCGGGTCGAGCCGTAGATATCCACGCTGCTTTTGATCCAAAGATGTGAATCGAACTCGCGACCTCGTTCTCTACGAAACTTTCCGTTTGAGCCATAAATATTTGCACTAATTTTGATCTAAAAATTTGAATCGAACACGAGACTTCGTTCGTTATGGAACTTTCCGTTTGAGTCATACATATTTGCACTACTTTCGATCCAAAGATGTAAAACGAATTGGTGACCTCATGAAAATCATTTGAGCCGTTTACCACTACACCAACCACCTTGTTGGTTTGTTTCATGTCTAACTCAATTATTCCTAAAATTTCAAACTTTAATCGATAAAAACGTCATTTCATTTTTCCCAGCAATGTTTAAAGTCTCATCGTGTTTTTAAGTGTTTATCTAAGAACAAATCTTAAAGAATTAATGAGATAATCTTGAGCTAGTTTAAGAGAATCCGTCCCTCACGCTTATGAAATGGATAAGTTTTGATTGAGTTATAAAGCTAATTATTCTTAATTTTCCATGAAATTATCATTCCGATCGAGTCGATTTCATCTATGGAGATTGAAAAATGAGCAACCTTTGATGTTGAATAAAATGAATGAGGGCTTCCAATTTGGTCAAACTAAGGAATTATATAATGTGAGTCCGATTTGAACCAACTTGACGTATGGGGTGACGCACTGACACTGGCTCACGTCATTATGACCTCAAGGTGTGGGGATTAGCTCAGGCTTAATCCTGCATATTAGTATATAATGCATGGTTGATTTTTCTGCTACACTTTTTAAGCCATTGGCTGTGAGACATAGTGGCGTCCAATATCATCATTTTAATTATTAGTCAGCGAAAGAGATAGATTCTCAATTTTCTCACGAATTTATTCGGCTGAATTTAAAAAGGACAAAGGGATGATGAGATATTTGATCAGCAGATCATGTCCCGAGAAAATAATTGTAAATCTCAAGTTCGTAATGACATTACTTGATTAGTCCGACTTACAAGGGTGATTGGGTATCGAGATGAATGGGTTCTCGATATGAAATCGGGAACCTATCCAGTCAGGGCCAATTTCAAATTCTTATAATTGGGAATCAAGATGTATATATAAGGAACCGACCCGGAATTGAAACGGTTGATTCCAAGCTGGTTTTCATGTCCATGACTTTGTTTCATCTTCTTTTCATTGTGCACCTGTTAAACCCGCGCGTGCTAGAGAAAGAAAGAGCATCGGCGGCAACACCATGTTGTGTTGATTGTTGAGTAAGGTCAACTTCACGTCCTTTGGTAGAAACAAAACCTTCTATCCTAGAGTGAAATCGGGAATAATTGAGAATTGAGATTTTTCGTCCCTAAACTCTCGTTTGTCTATTTTATTATTCTCTTTGTTCCTTTTGTGCGGCATTCAATAGAAAGGACAAGAGGTTCACATCGACCCCCATGCCTCCATCATTGCACTCTCTTTTCTCTTCTTTTCCGAAGGAAACTCTTCTTATCTTCTTCTCTCTCATTTGTTCAGAGATAAGATCTCTTTCGTGTGACCATCATGATATTTCTATTTTCATCCTTAAGAAAAAACCAAAAAATTGATAGGAAGTAGAAGTAAACATTGGACCCATTTTATTTCACGAGCTTAAACTCAAGACATATTCAATAGTTTTGGGAACAAATTGTATGTTAATTTTACATGGTGAAGTGGTTAAACTATTCTCAAGCTAAGTGGAAGACTTGAGTTTGAGTGGGAAAATTGTCCAAAAAGTCTAACCTTTTGCGCTTTTGTAAATTTAGTCTTTGTGACATTCCAAAATTTTGTCGATTCATTTAACAAACAAAGTGAGCGAATGGATGGTGGCGATGAGAACGTTCATCGCTGGAAGTTGGGAAGTGTTAATTTCGGAAAGTTCGGATATCACCACGTCGCCACCATTGCCATCACTATTTCCACCACTGCGCCATCACGTCACCGTCACGCCAGCCACCATTTTCCCATTTCTTTCCCACGTCATCAGCCCATGCAGCACCGTTTCTTTCTTTCCCCCCACGCCCCCAACGCCATCTTGCTTCCCCATGCATGTCTTCCCCTTCCCCATTGCCAGCAGCCCTCCTCCACTCACCCTCTCCTCCTCATTGCCACGCCCACCCCTCTTTCCAACTCCACCTTGCTGTCCGCCCCATTGCCACGCTAGCCTCCCCCATGCAAGTCTTCCCCATGTCATGCCATCTACCCTCCCCTATTCAGCCACCACCGATCCCTCTTGCCATCGCCTCCAGCCCTCAGACCACCTGCACTTCCTCTTGCATGATACCAATCCCTCCCCAGGCATCAGCCACCTCAGCCACCTCATTTCCTTTCCCTTGCCACCTACCCCAGCCGCTACACCTCCCTTCCCCCATGTCCTCCACTCACGCCCCCATTCTCCCCCACAACCAGCCGGCCCTCCTTCTTTTCTTTTCCCTCCCATTTTCTCACGTTTCAGGCCCTCACAGCCGCTTGTCTTCATCTCACTCGCTCTCGGCCATCGCTCGTCTTCACTGACGCTCGGCCACCGTTGCACCACCCGGCCTAAAAGGATTCACGGGAATCCTAACGTCAATAGGCAAGTGGAAACTAACCCATTTTTGTTGATTAATCTTTGAGTCGTTAATTGTGATAGTCATTGGGCCTAGAATTCGAATTCCAAACTAGAATTGTTATTAATTTTAGGACGTGGATTTGAGATTTCGGAAATTCTAACTTTTGGTTTGTCAAATTTTGTTCGCCTGTATTGGTGTTAAATCTCAATGAACTCCCTTGATGGAATTTGATTAGAACGTCCTAATCTACGACATATTTAAAAGTGGTAATTTTTGGAATGGATTTGGTATGGTTTACGGTGAGTAGAAAGTTCGGAGGTTTAGTGTAATCTCGTTGAATCGCGTTGTGTAGTGAAATGGATAGGGTGATCGGTTTTGGTAAGATTGAGTAATTAAGACATGGTTCTGTGCTGTTCTAGTGCAAATTGGCCTGGTCTGGTGTTGATTGGGTGAAACTGACAATTTGGCTAGTAATGCATGTGTGATTGTTATATCATGACAAAAGTGACATTTTATTGCATTGATATTGAAATGTGCACATGTGGTGCGAGAGTGACGTCAAAATTAAGTGTGAAATGTGATAAGCTATCAGACAGCGAACCGATATGCATATTCCCTAAAGGAGTTAGGATGCCCCTATGCTGTGTGTCTGGGATGCTCCTATCTTGTTAGGGATGCCTCTGAGTGAGATGGCCAAGGACAGCGAACCTTGGTAGGCCGGACGGTGAACTGGCGTGTGTGAATTCATGAATCGGGAAAGTGTTTGTGACAGTGTTATAATAAATTGTGAGTAAATTTTGTGGTTTGGTTAGCTTGCATATTAGAAATGAGACGATTAATTTAGAATATTCAACTTGTTGTTGAAATTAAAATTTTCAGATTAGTATTAGTATTAGTATGGCCGCACCTCCCACCTCGCCTATCGCGTTGTATGGAGCACCCCTCGACTTCACGGGGTCGCTCTCTGAGTTTACGAACCCGGATATCCCGGGAGTTACTTTTGTGAAGTACATATCATATCTGTTGGTTGACACGGGATTGGAGACGGGACTGCTTACCTACTAGTTCGTGGCTGTCTACATGCGCCACAACGGGAGACTCTGGGGACCGATCCCGTTCCCGTGAGACGACGGCAGCTTCGGTGGAGGCCGTGGAGACGGCCAGGCGTAGCTAGGACGGGGTGTGGAGTTGCAATATGTATGGTGGGAGTGCAGGCAGGCGCATTTTTGGATAATGGTGATAGGATACCTTGACTTCCTAGAGCGCCTATGAGAGTGTTAT